CGTCGCGGCGATTAGCATCACGGTTTGACTAGACTATCGCATCGCGGACTGCGTTCTTTATGACGAAATTTTACAAACGCGCGTCCTACGGCTGACGTGTGCCACCGTAAATTTTGTGCGCGCGGGCTCAAGAGAGGGTTAGGGGCTCGAGAGGGGTGGAGAGGCTAAACAGAGAGAAGCATAGAGGGCGAGGAAGACAGACAGTTACTGAGGGAGAGAGAACACGAGAGGGGGGCGAGGAACGGAAGAGAAGCGAGCCGCGAGAGGAAGTGAGAAGACGAAGGGACGAAGGGGCAGCGGAAGAAAGGCCGAGAGAGAGAGAGAGAGAGTGTGTGTGTGTGTGTGTGCGAGAGAGAGGAGAACTGTTTATCTTGCTACCGGCGGTACGTATCGGTCAATATGTGCCCAGCCTCTGAGCACACAGACTGCATACGTGGATACATAGGCTCCCCAACCTCCTCATCCTCCACCTCATCCTCCTCTGCCTCTTCTTCCTCCGGGCGCGACGGCGGCGGCGTTGGCGACGGCGGCAACAGCAACGGTGGCGACGACGACGACAACGACGACGATGAAGGAGGAGGAAGAGAGAAGGAGGTGGCGGGCGGTGGTTGCCTGTGGACTGCACATTACGTACCGCATTATGCGCGTACACAGGGAGCCTTATCTGCGCGAGCACGTCCGGGTAATTTAGTCCGGCACTCCTCACGACGTCGCTTCTTTCCCTCCTCGCCGTCCTTCTCTTCCTACTCTTCCTCCTCCTCCACCTCCACCTCCACGTCGTCTTCGGCGCTCCCGTATCTCCCCTTGCCGCCATCGTTCGCCCTGCCTTCCTCCATCTGCCTCGTTCGCCGCGAGAAAAATGCGTTAAACGTTGATACGTCATTGCGGGCCTTATCCGGAGGTAAAGTGAGGGGCCACATTGTCAACCCAACCGCGTGTCGAGATATCGTAATTACGGTGCTCGACGATTGATGAAGGCGCGCGCGCGCGCAGCCGCCGCGTGTGCGATCGCACAAATGTCGTGCGTAACGGAGAGAACCGATCCGGGAACGTCCCGACGGTATCACCGGACGTTCTCGGGATAATGGCCGCGGGCGGTGCGACGTCTACGCGGATGATGATACCGCGAGAGAGCGGCTATCTGGTCGCTTGATCGATGCCGCTCGCGCGCGAGTGTCGTCGTTGTGTTCGTAATTCGCTTCCTCGTCGTGTGATACGATAATTCCGATGCGCGGAGGATGATGAGAAAAAAAAGAAACACGATAAGGAAGAAGTCCGGGTGTCACCGTGCCGTCCGGTTTAACGTTCTCGTGTGTCGACTCGATCAATAGGCGAGTAAGATAAAAGTACCAATGGATATTCTTGCTATTTCTCTCTCTCTCTCTCTCTCTCTCTCTCTCTCTCTCTCTTTCTATCTCTCTTTCTCGCTGTTTTGGTTTTTAAATATGGATATTTAGACTTTTAGAAATTATACCATAACATAACATTACGGTAGAATTTAATAAATGGTTTTTTTGATTTAATATATATAGTAATGATTCCTCCATATGTAATTATAACTATAAATACCAAACATTCTTTTCTCAGTACATGAAATTACAGAATTAAAAAAAACGTCATAATAGAATTGCACTGCACTTTTAATTCGGTCGCGAGAGTCACAGATCGTCCCAGGCGACCTCGAGACAGACATCATTAATGACATTTCCATTCACTTTTTCAGAGAGCAGTGCGATCTGAAACTTCACATTTCACTGTCGAAAATTTAGTAGAAAATCATCTGATTCCAATTTTCGACGAAGCTGAGACACTTATTTCGTCTGACTTGTCTCGAAATTTCGCGTCGTCTGAAAGATCTCCTGTAAAGTTGCAATTTCGCGAGTTAGGAAATTTTTGAATTTGCCCGACGATTCGTCTTTCCGGGATCGCTCAGTGAATTTTTCGGCACGGAGATCTCGATTCTCCCTCGTTGTGCGCGTTAAATCGGTTAATTGCAACAATTCGGCAGGCCGGTAACATCGCGATTTATGCACGATTGCGAGTGGAAAGGTGTGGTGTGTGGAGAGCGCACACACACGAACACACGCACACCCAATCGACAGAGCGCGATTGCATCGCGCAACGTATCGTAACATATCGTAAGGGAAGAAAGAAAAAAGAACAGAAAAATATGTTGCTCTCACCGCTACACCTCGAGCTACACTTGGACGATATCTTAAAGAGAGCGCGCCTTCGTCGGGGGGGAAAAAAGCGGCAGAAGTCGTAATTATATTAGACACCTCGTTCGCTCTCATCTCGCAGCTGACCAAGCGCGCGCGGATGATGAACGAGATAAGCAGTTGTGCAATATCATTCGGAAGTATTAAGAGAGCTGTTTTCGCGTGTCCGAGAAGTCGGCTTGCCTCGCGAAACTTCGCTCGCTTGCTACCGAGTGCTCGGTAATCATGAACGAAAATGAGCGTTATTTATGGAGAGGGCCGCGCTATACTCCGAGCCGCGCGAGCCGTAATTTCGTAGTTTTTTACGACGCGACGCGGGTAACGGTAATCTTCTTTGTCGCGCGCGCGCGTGTGTGTGTGCGCGCGCGCGCAGGGCAGTTAGTTAATGAATTTCTTTAATTCGATATCAGCCGGACTACGGGGAGCCGAATGTAAGGACGAATTATTGCGGCCGGCAGGTGCGACGGCGCTCGTTACCTGCGTTCGCGCGCCCGTGGAACTTAATACGTTTGTCGCACGCGAGTAAAAATGATTATGTTGCAACTCGGCTTGTGTAATTAAATCGCTCGTCAGGAAGAAAATATTACGACTTGAACGACATAATCGCGGGCAAATTGTGAGTGGGGCTTCTACATTGACGTCGTATCGACTTTACGCGTTGCATCGCGATTATTCCCGCCACATTATGCCGTCGTGTAATTGCGAGACGCGTCTGTCTCGCCTGGGACGGTCTGTGACTCTCGCGAATTAAAAGTGCAATGCAATTTTATTATGTCGTCCTTTTTTTTATTCTGTAATTTCGTGCACTGAAAAAAGAATGCTTAGTATTTATAGTTATAATCACGTGGGGGATCACATTACTATATATTGTGGTCGAGGAAGCCATTTTCCTTATTAAATTCTACCGTAATACCGGTGATAATAATTTTATATGCTATTACTTACATATTACTACCATTCCCGTGTTAAAACAATCAAAAAGTATGATTGGAGCCAAAAATAATATTAGTTAGATCAACTATCTTTTTTTTCTCGCAGTACACGCTGCCACAAGATATTTCGAGATTTGCACAGCTAATTGCAAAACGGTTTCGACAAAGTAAAGTTGGGGTCTGATCAAACGATCAAAGTTCAAAGCTCGCGCAATAATTAAATTACTAATTGCTATTATTATTATTAATAATTGTTATTGCAATATTTTATTTTTATTAATTATATTATTGCTGCGTAAGCTTGTCGATAACGACTTTGAATGTTGGACAGTCTGGCAAACTCTCGACTTCAATATGTCTGAACCATTTTGCAATCGAGCATACGTACGCTTTAAACGTCATTGATCCCTTCCGCTTCCAGTTTAGGATTCAATGCATTCGGATATTTGTGCTTCATCCATAATTAAAACGGCCATTAAATTCGTGATAACTTGAAATAATAGATGCAAAAATAATTTCGCGTACATTTGATCGCCACTTGTGAATGAATATTTAGGTGCGATCAGTTCGACTTCAAAAATGCTCAAACCGGAAATGATAGACATTAGTATAATGCGCGTGTATATGTAATATGGTAATATTACGTATTACCATACATTGGTAAATACTAATTTTGACTTTTTAAATACTTTTTTATTCTCACGAATAAAGCACTACTTCGAATTCTGTGAGTTATAAATTGTGTACAATTTAAGACAAATATTTTATATAGTTATGTACATACATATATATCGTCGTATAAATTTATATAACTATATAATTATATGTTGAAGAGAAAAATATCTAAGAAATAGAAGATAGTTTTATTCGATGGTTACTGATAATTTATTTATATTAATATAGAACGTTTTTCGAATATATACAGCGTGTATCAGAACAACTTGCAAAGCTTTCGTGGAGTTATACCATGGAGTGAGATGAACATAAAAATCCCATATCGTTTTGTGATATTCGCAATAATTATCGAGATATTAATTAAAAAAGATTTATGAATGATAACGCGAGATATGATAAATGTAGTGGTGACATGTGCTTGTATATTAGATCAAATTGACCAAAAAAGTCCTCTATCATTTCCCTAATAACTTTGTAAATTTTTAATTATTGATTAAAGAAAATTGGCGGATAATCGTTCGCGATAACATATTCATGTTCTTTGGTTAATAACTAAGGAGGACACCCTGTATATATTTATATTGCAATTATATGTTATAATATACATTTCCTTAAAACTTTAGCTTTTCATGAAAACAATTGTATTGCTTTCTACTCAAATAAATTAATCTAGATTTAAACGAGTATTATTTATATAGTACGAAATAAGTATTTTGTATTTCTTGGATATGTTTTTCTCAATATGTGGGTCGTCTAAAGTGTATCTTAATGGGCTAAGTAGAGAAGAAAATAGTTCGAACAGTATTTGCATGCAGTCTCGTTCATTACTTGATGATATGAAAAAAGAGAGGGACGGGGAAAAACCCACTTTAAAATACCAGATAAATATCAGAGACACTCGCGGCCGTGCAGCGCGTTGCTGCACGGATTATTTTGTTCACACGCGGTCCCTTTTCGCGCTCCATTCGACAGTGCACCGCCGATAACTTCTCGAGTTTGCGGGCAGGTTCGTTTGCTTGACAACGGGTGCGTAGCTTATTATACATTTGAAAGTGTACGTCCACGCACACGCATGTACGTCTCGCCGGTTCGCACTGTGATGCAAATCGGGTAGATCGCGGCGGGATACGTACGCGCGGTCTTGATTTAAATCTGAAAAGTGGTTCTTTCGTACCTCCGCGCCGGACTATTGAGAAGAGTTAGCATGTGAAAGGAAGGTATGCCACCGGCAAGGACTCCTCTCGAGTGGCCCTTAAGAACGCCGCTTCACCCCAGATTTTTCGTAATCCGTTCGGTCGGGGAGAAGCCAACTTGGAATTTCTTTTTTTTTTATTCCGACTCGCGCGTTCCCGAGGAGCCGCGATGTTTCCCTTCTCGCTCTTTCATAGAATATCGAAATCCTTGGGAATCACCTTCTTCTTCCTCTTTCTTCATCCGTTCGTAAAGCATCCTGCAAAAATAAAATAACGTTTGCACGAATGTTCGATTAAACGTGATTCATTAGACTATCTTAGATGAGTTATAATTATACCGATCGTAAAAACATGAAATTACTGTCTGGGGTGCAATCTTTTAAAGGAAAGGAAAGAAAGTTCTTAGATTGCTCTGCATGTATTTTTGTTTGCTTGTATGTTCCTTCATAACTCGAGATTGAGATGAAGCTTTTTGTAACTTATTCAGTATGTTATCTTAGATTGGTATCATTTCCCGAGTTTGTTCAGATGACCTGAAAATTTAATAATTCAAAGATTCTCCACTTGAGTTGAAATTTTGATTCTATATTAAACCTTGAATTCTCCAACGCTATAAAAGCTAAGTTAGCAAAGTAGGTTTAATTATAATGATATAATTTACTCTTACTTTGATTCATTGATTCCGAAATTTCCCTTTTTTCTTTCTTTAGCGTTAAAACAGATTGCATTATAAGTTTCAGAATATCAAAATAGATGTTGAATGAAATAATAAGGCTGAAAGTAAGATCAAAATTTCGACTTGGACAAGTCTCCATTTTTCGAGAATTCAACTGGAAAGTTCAGACAAGAACTTTTAGTTTGTCTCTAAGTAGTTAGAAAAACTTTCTAACAAAATCAAAAAACCTCGAACCGCCTTTAAAAACTCCCAAGGCTCTAAAAGGTATGAAATAATTTTGACTCGATATTTCTACAGTCATATTCTAATGTTCTAACGATATTCTTTCTAAATCAGCGTGAAAGAGACGAACTAGATAGGTAACTAATTTTATAACTGGCAGGAATATCTTGTATAGAGAGAAATGAATAACGGGGAAAAGATATATGATTATCGAGCCAGGTTTTAATATTAAAGTAGGATTATTGATATATAGGATTATTGAGTCGAATTTATTTCGTACTTTTTAGGGTTTTCGAGGTGCTTGAAAGCGGTTTATTTTTGTTAAAAAAGTTTCTTGTTACATCAAGAAGTTAATCTTGGCACACAGAAACTGATTATAACGAGACAGAATAATCAGTCCAACTAACGAACGAGAAACTGACGAAATATTTAACTAAAATCCGTTCTGGAAAATAATAATTATTTCAATTAAAAGTCGCGGAACAGGTAACTAGAATAAGAAATACATGTTTCGCCATTTATGCATTACTCTGCCCGTCGTCGACAGTCTGATATATCCCTCTCACACGTTGGCGAACGAAGTCGCCGGCGGCGCAACGTCGATTCACTGGCAATAACGTCATCGGAGTATTACCGAGCGGTAATAAGAATAACGAAAAAAAACTCGCTTTGCAGTTGCAAAATCACGCTCTACTTATGATAATGAATGTTTACAATTCATGAGCTTTCATTACATATGTGCTCATACGTTCGTTCATGATTTTTATATATGATGATTATCCCCTTTGATTTCTCTCCGTCTCTCTTTCTTCTCTCTCTCCCTCTTTTTCTCTCATCGCGAATGGAAAAAGGGTAAAAGAAAGGGAAGAAACGGCGAGCGCGACATCCGCGTTGCGCAGCACGACGCGCGGAACGGCCCTTTTAATCGCGGTATCGCTGTTCGCATCGATGGCTGTTTATTTCGCCGAGAAAATAACTGTGTTTATATCTCGCAATTACATCCAGCGAGATTCACCTGTGTGTCGTGTTCTCGCGTGTTTGCTGCCGCCGCCGCTGATTCGCAGCAGGTATGTCTCGGAAAAATCATTTGATGAGAAGATAACCGGGCAGATACGACATGCAGATGTCGTGACTTCATTACCTCGATATTACCTTACTTAACCTGCACCGAAACGACGAAATAAAATCGGTCACGTAGTGGAGCGCGCTCTATGATAGCGTATATGCCATTTCTCTTTCTCTCTCTCTCTCCTCCCCTTTTTCTCTTTCTCCTTCTGCGCTGAAAGGTGGAGCTATGCGCTTACAAGGGGTAATTTCCACCATAATTCCCGGCCTTCTTCTTCGTTAGTGTAATAACGTACTTACGGAGAAAAAAAGAGAAAAGAAAACGAGACATTTTTATATGATTACGTAAGGAACATTACGTACTCTCGCGATCGGCTGCTGAATGCGAGGCTCAATCGTAGCCGGAGTACTCACAACCGACGATAACCGGGCTCGATGAATCGCCATTACGCTTCCGTTGACGAGCGCGTCCGCTAATTACTCGCAATCCAGCGTATTTTTACGCGCCCTCAATACAGCCGCGCCACACTATCGGATCGGCTAATCACGCGCGATGCATCGTGAAATGCATCGAACGAGAGATGGCCGGAAATCGCGGCCTTCCGCGATTCGAGACGACGCGACCGGTGGTGCATCTTTCTGCGGGAAGAGCCTCTGCACTGTGAGAAGATGGTTAGACCGGCAAAATCGGCGGTCCGCCTCGCTCAGAGAAATATCGTTTGCTGGATATAAATCATGCGTTTGTGCAACGTGTCGTTATGTGTTGATGCAACTGTTGATTAAATCATGATGACTGATTCAATTGATAATTCACTGCAGCACCCATATAGGACTTGCTTTGTACACTGAGAAAAAGTTACTTGAAAAGATTTTTGTGTGATGCAAAGTCTATTAACTTTATATACCTCAGATAAATGTTCAAATATTTTTTTTCAGTGTAGACTATATAATTGGTTTTTTTCACAAAACTAAACTTTATTTTATAAAAATAAACTTTATATCTCAAGAACAAAAATTTTCAAGTATTTTTTCTCAACATACTATGGAATTTGCTCTATACTATAATATTTGCTTTATACTATGTGTAAACAGGTGTAACATTGTGTAATAATTAGTTAATTAATCGAAAGTTTAGTTAAAAAGTTAAGGAGTTAATAACTAATTCAGTTTCACAAATGAGTCAACTTCTAACTCAAACTAATTGTTTTGAGATAAATTAAAAATTCTTTTCATATATATATATATATATATATATATATATATATATAAGTTAAAATAATTCATCAATATTAAAGTTATTGTGGCTTGCTTACGATGTAGTAGAGTACGACAAATCAGAAATAACGCCAGTATTCTTTTCTTATAGGGAACCAAACAGTTGGTATTTTCTTGCAAAAGACTACCTTCTTTTATTATTTCATATAATCTACGATTAAAAAGTTGATTGCGCGAAAAACATACATATTGCTTCGCATAATTAACCTTTGACTTCAATAAGTTTCAATTCAATTTGAGTGCAACTTTTAATTAATCCCGCTTTTGTTTATGTGACTTTTAACTGATCTGGTAAATGTTATTATAAGTCATTAACTTTAAACGTAATTTAGTTAAAAGGGGAATATTAACTCAATTAATCCTGCATATAACTATAGAATTTGCTTCAGCCAATCGACCAAACGTTCGTTCAACCGCCTCGAACGAATTCGCCTCGTCTTTGCCCGGGCATAGTTTCGTCGATCCTACCATTCCTTTTTCTCAGTGTGAGAAAACCGACATCGTCGCCGTCGCCGTCGTCCGCGTGCAACGCATCACTATTCTCGCCAGCATGCAAATCGCATCAGCGAAGGGGTTACGATGTGTGGGAATTTCGGGAGCCTCGTCGTTTAAAAAAGGCGGTGATGAGAAACAGTAGGAAAAAATTATTGTGCGTCCCGTCCCTTTCCTTTCCTTCCTTCCTTCCTTCCTTCCTCCCTGCCTCCCTCCAGTGTCAGGGGTTCAGTTCCGACCGTTTCATTTTTTTTGTGTGCTTCTCCTCTCCTCCTCCTCTCCGCGCCGATGTCACGGCGGTGCATAAGAACCGCCGCTAATTATGCGAGAACACACAGTGGTGTACCTGGCCCGCGAGATATAAATGCTAAACTCGCGGTATTATGCGCGTGACGGGCCCGGCACACATGGCCAGGGACCACGTCGGGAAGTGGGCTGCGAGCTACCTGAAGCCGCGGCGTTGTGCATATCGCGGACAATGCGTTGCGCGTTGGGATACACGCGTGGAAAATTCCATTTCCGCTTGTCGAGCAGTATCACCGACACGTCACGGCTCGTTAATCAGCCGGTTTGGGCCGGGTGGTCCACTCGACGCCGTCGCCGCCGCCGCCGTCATCGTCGGGGGTCCGGATCACCCCTCTTCTTCCCTTCACTCCCGATGGAATATCTTTATCGGAAGATGGAGAGCTTCCCTCCCTTCTCGCGACCTTTCCCTTTGACGGGATTTGACCTTTCGAGCAGGATTTGCAGGAGGAAGTCGAAAGGATGCGACTCGTCGAATAGCCGCGTGATAACGGAGTTTATGGAAAAAATCCAGGAGTATGTATTGGCGAATTTTTGGAAGAGCTCGCGAATTTTGGGTCAGACCTGAAGGGGCTGAGAGAGGGACAGAAGAAGCAGGGAGAGAGCGATTGAGCTTGACTTTTGGCGAAATACGCGTTTTCTATAATTAGTACAGAAATTTTAGGATAATTTCAGAAGTATGTGTTATATCTTGCAATAAATTAAGAAAATGTAAAACCTGTACATATATATAAAATAATCGGTAATTAATGAGACCATGGAAAATTTCAAATCTAAGCATGAATACAAAATAGTTTTTGTTTATCCAAGAGTTATTACGAGTTTTACTAATTAAAGTTGAAAGTAATATAGAAAACATACAATTAATCCATAAAATTCGATCCTTCGTGCAAATTTTTCCATTTCTGAACTAAGATCCTCTTCAAAATACGTAAAATATATAATTTGATTAGGATTGGATAATAGGAGAAGAGATTAATTAATATCAATATTAAATAATTATAATTCAGGACCAATTGAAAATGGAAGGTAGATATATCACGTAAGCTCGTAAGCTCGGGCAAATATTTAATACGTACGTTGACACTCTCAAACATTTATCTTCCCATAATTTAGAATAATTCGCGCTTACGTCCAACGATCGACATTTACAGGCTTTTCTCTCTCTCTCAAAGATATCTCTCCTATCATACGCCAAGTTACCAATCGTAATTACATACATGA